GCTCCCTTTCCTCCGGGGCGCCTCTCAGGCACTGACACACTGCAGCTCCATCTTCACTGGCCCGTAGCAACCTCTGTCTGTCCTCTTGGACGGGGAGGTGGGGGAGCGACCCAGAGCAGGTGGGGGTCTGGGTCCCGGGCTCTGTGGGGAGAGGTCAGCGAATTAGGAGCCCTGGCTGTTGAGGAGCTGCGGCCCTCGAGTTACTCTTGAAGTGAAATGACGCAGCGGGGGGTGTGGGGCTGGTGGCATGTCCTCATCTGTTCATCGCAGCCAGGTGTAGCCCAGGGTGGGCTTCCACCGTGGGGTTGAGGAAGGTAGATCAGCCGGCAGGCACCGTTCGTCCCCCCGGGGGCTCCCGGACCCCTGGGCCGGGGGCCTGTGTTGCTGGGCTCTGTTCATGCCAGCCCTCCCGACGGTCAGCACAAGGCAAGCCTTAGAACTGGCGGGTGTCTTGTGTTTTCTGGAAATCCTATGGAAAAGGAAGGCTCTCAGGTTGCAAGTATTGCGAAGTTCATGGATGTTTGATTTCCATCCCGCTGCTGTGGCCGGGAGCACACAGGTCAGACGTGGGACTCTTGTGCCCTCTGTCCCCTCTGCTCTTTGTCCCTGGCCCTGCGTCCTTGTCCTGCGGTCCCCGGGGAGAGTACCATCCAGAGACTTGAATGGTAGTTTCGTGCGGTTCGGCTCCAAAGCCTGAGCAGCCTGGGAGGTTTCTGAAGCGCTGAGCCGGGTGTCCTTCCCTGGATGTCCTTCCCCGGGTGTCCTCCCCGGCCCTGGCGCCGGAAGAGGCGGGTGAACGTTGTGCTGCTCTTCCCCCTGCCTCCCCCTTTTCTCTTTTTTGGTTGTTTTTTGCTTCTACAAAAATAGCAGGGCCTCCTTGACAGAGAAGGAGGGGTCACCTGCGGCCCCGCAGCCTCGGCCTCGGGTGTCCTGATGATTTCTTACTTTAGACACACATACTCTTCCTCTTAAACACAACGGCCTGCTCTTTGGAGCCGATTGTAAATCTGCTTTCATGTGTCTTGACGGCGGCTGTGCCGACATGGCTGCCCCGAGTCTCGTTCAGGGCCTGACGTGCCCTCGCTGGCCCTGTTTTGGGTTCTCAGGTTTTGTGGCGGAAGCTGAGAGACCCCGGGAGCGTACCCTGCACTCAGCTGTCTCCCCTCCGGTTTCCTTTCTGAGCACAGACTTAGGGGCTCCCCTCCCTTGGCGCGACCCTGCTGTGCTCTGTCTTCTGTCTGAGTAAGTGGAGTGGTTGTAAATGGGCTCTGAGGTGCCTGTGTGCCGCGCCCCCTCACCTGCGGTGTGGTCCTGGGCCTCAGTCGCCGTGGGAGTGGGGTGTCCCCGGCTTGGGAGCTCTGAGCTGAGCGGACCCCTGTGTCCGGCAGCACGTGGCGGGGTGGCAGGTTTATGTGGCACAGGGAACGCTCCCTCTCTTCCCCCTGTCCGCGCCCCACTCCGGACACTGCTCGTGTGGAGATGCGGGTGCTCAGCGATGGGCGTCAGCAGGGCCTTTGAGGCTGGGCGGAGGCTTCCCGACAGCGCAGGTACAGCTGCCCTGGGGGGCATCACGTGCGCTTTGTGGCTGCCGGTTCTGCGAGCCTGTCGGGTCATGGTGGTCGCTGTCCTTGTTTGGATTTGGGGGTGACTTGTTACTCAGCAACTGAGAATAGCACACCCTTTTCCACCAGGGGGACCGTTAGATCACGTAAAAGCCTAGGATGAGGCAGACTGTGCGACCTCAAACAGCTGCCATTAAAACTGTAGAAAACTTACCAAGGTGTGTTTTAGATTTTATATCCTTAAGTGACTTTTGATGATGGTCATCCACACTTTCTGGAATCTTTTGCTGTGTGTCCTGCACAAGGTAAAACATCTTGTAACCTTAATAATCCTTAAAATCTTTTCCAGGAAGGCTTTAAAGATTAGTAAGTGAAATAGGATTTTAGGCAGTTTTGTATCATGTAAATTAAATTCGGTTAAAAAAAAAGCCAGAGGGTCCACTGGCCACTGACTGAAGCAGCACAGTCAGCCTGCACCTGCTCTCTCTCCCGGTGGGTGGGTCTGTTTCCTCGGCTGACACTCACCAAGTCACGGAGCCCCGCGGTGTTCCCACGGCGCGTCCAGCCCCGGTCACTGCGGCTGTGCTGCGAGACCCCGAGCGCCGGGCTGGGTCTGGTCTCAGTTTCTCCCTGGCTGGTTCTTCCTGATCTGTCATTTGCCGTCAGGGAGCACCCTCAGCTCCCGGGAACTCCCGGCCCTTCTGGGGCCCCTCTGGGCACCACGGCCGACTTAGAGAAGACAGCAAACGCGGGGCTTCACCTCTCCCCGCGGGCCGGCCCTGGGACTGACGGTGAGGCGGTGACCGGGGGTCTCACGTGCACCTGAGCGGCACGTGGAGTCGGGGGATGGTCAGCAGGAAGGGTCCCTTCCCGCTCTCACCACTACCTTCCCTTCTGCCTCTGGTGCTGCAGGTGACAGGCACTTCCTTTGTCACACTTCAGTGTAATTTTGTTTTGACCAAGAGCAGTGTCATGCGCGTTCTGTTCTGGCGCTGGCCTTGTGAGATGCCTTCTTGTCTGTCCCGCCCTGCAGGGGAGGGGCCGGAGGAGGGCAGTGGGCACCACCCAGGGACACACTGTGTCTAGACCGGGGCTAGGCGCAGAGGGGCTGTGTGGAGACAGGCAGCTGCCGCTTGCTGGGCAGAACCTGGATTCTGTGGGGACCGTCTGGCCCGGGTCCTCACGTAGGAGAAAGTTGAGAAAAAGAAACTTGTAAAATGTACTGGGGTTTGGGCAGGTAGCCACCGGCACGTGTCGGTCAGAGCCCAGCCTTCCCGCTCGCCTTCCCTGTCGCCCTCGTGACCGCCGTTGCTTTGTGCCCCTTCTGCGTTAATGACACCACTGCCCGTCAGATGTTTCCTGTTAGTGTTTCCAAATGTGTTGTTACGAATTTTGCTTTTGAAATGCACGCATGGCGGGACTTTCAGGTAAGAGACTTGCGTTGATTTTAAAAATTCAGTGTGATCCTGTCTCAGGTGTTTTTTATTACCTGTGTGTAAAGTGTAGAGCGTTACCGTGCTTCTTTGGCATCAAGTCCTAAACAGTAACCCGTGTCCAGCAGGGCGGTGCTTCCCTGTTGGTAGAAACCACGCCCGAGTGTGCTGTGTCGGGGCTTCTGCGCCCTGGCTCCGGGTGACGGACGACGGGGGAGAAGCCCCGGGGTGCTGGCGCCCGTATTCTTTGTATCTGGAGTAAGGGCCGTTCAGGTGAGCTTACCTGGTGATAATGAAAGGGGTTCTTAAAGCGTGACTAGACCCTGCTCTGTTAAGAAATGGATTGCTGCTTAAATTACAGTGAGCTTATAAGTGACAGAAATCTAATTTTAATTTCTTTTGAGGCTGTCTGTTTCTCCTTATTTAATACATGATCATGTATGTATGTGCCTGATAAGAGAAAGTTCTGAGATTTGAATTCCTTTGTTATCGAAACAAAAGCAGTAAATTGTAGCATCATTTGAATTGTTTGTAGAAAGTCCACATCCCGGAGGGGATGATACAGGTCCGTGGTAGTGTGTGTGCTTAGCATGCGTGAGGTCCTGGGTTCAGTCCCCAGTACCTCCACTAAAAACAAACAAAAAAGTCCATATTCTGAGGGTAGAGGTGGGGGGAGTTCCTGAATAACTTCTTTTTCATGCCTTCCTCCTTTTTCAGGGGAGGAATTAATTTCTTGCTGAGGAATTGGTTCAGAGACAGAATTTGTTGCTATTCTATTTTTTTTTTAAGAGCGTTCTTACTTATGCCCTTAAATGTGAACAGAATTTTCAAAGATGCCAAATTCCCCTTAATCCTGAATACATAAAATCTTAAAATCAAATTGGGTATGTTGTGGGAAAAAAAACAGGAAAGAACTACAGGAAAATTAATGCACTGGGGCCCATTTTGCATGTCGTCAGGGATACCAGTTTGTTGACATTGCATATTGTGCCTTCCTTAAAATTGTCAAATGTAAAAACACACGCACATGGACGGGGGGGAGACCTCTGATACCAAGTAGGTGACAGTTGTGTTTTGCTCCTGACAAATTCAAGCAAGTTACGTGTTAGTGGAAAGTAGTAATAACTGAGATGACTGTGTCCTGATTTCAAGTGGACTCTTTCAGTTGTTACAAAATATCTAAACATGTAAAATTAATTTGAATTCAGTGTTTTACATGCAAAAAAAGGTATGGATTGCAGGCTGGGGCTTCCAGAAGTGTGTGTGGTAGGGTGCAGCACTGGGTGCTTTTTCCAAATTAAAAGTGGTTGCATAAGGTAAGATGGATCACGACGTTGCTGGGGTTTTCACGGCGACCAGCCTGTTGGTGTGAATTTTGCTCCTCAGGCAGGTTAGTCATGGAATCTCTATTCCTTGCCTTCCCTTGAGGTGAATGGGTGCAGCCGTGGGAACTGAGCTTTTAAAGCGGCCGTCCTCGCCTTTCCGTCTTGGGGAAATATGCCTCTTAAACACCGCTTTCTGAAATTATTCCCCACCTGAAGCCTGTCTGTTTACAGAGAA